AGCTGATCAGTGGGGCCCACCAAACAGCTGATGGGATGGTGGGTGCTGAATACCCACTATTTGTTTTCCCAGGCATGCTCCAGCCCCAGAGCATTCTTGAAGTCCGCACCTATGAGTTATCCCATGTTATGAGTTGCTCAATGTTTATTTTATACCATGTTTTCTTTTTATTTTTGTTAGTCCCTCATGGGGTAACCTTGGGAACATCCCTGGCACAGATCTCTATAAGAATGTCAAGGAATACAAAAGTGTAAGTGTTTCTGGCTGGTTATTTTCCAAATGGCAGACTGCAAGCCAAAGTGAGGTACAGAGTTCTACCTTGCAGCCTGTGGCTGCTCTCACCTTTAACATGAAAGTGCAGCTCCTGAAGATAATGGGTCTTAGTGAGCATAAAGCCTTCCATCTGGAGCCAAGTGGTCAGATCACATTGCATGCAAGAAACTATAGTTTCTGGGAGCTAAACCTTTGTACTAAAATGAAGGTAGCTAGTATCGGCTCCTTTTTATTCATATTAGGTGCCTACTTGGATTCTTGGTAAGTTATCAAACTGATGCTTTATTAGGCTAAGTTTAGGTACTGCAGCTGATTAGGTAAATATAATACATGCTTGACCTTGAAATTATTTTGATAATAGGTTGTTGAACCAGAAGGAGTGAAAATTCTCAGATTTTCCAGTCCTATTTTTTATGCTAATATAGATGGATTGAAAAGCAGCCTGAAATCTACAGTAAGTAATCTATGATGATTTTGGAGGTTTACTATTTAATTGGCTGTGTAATTTCTACAGCTGTTTGTCTCTAGATAAAACAAAAATAATTTTGATAACTTGGTTCTTCTTTCTCCAGGTGGGATTTGATGCAGTTCGAGTATATAACAAAAGGCTCAAAGCACTCAGGATGATACAGAAACTGATCAAGAAGGGAAAATTAAAAGCAACTAAGGTAAAGTTTATTTTTTCCTTCTCTTTGTTAAAAATTACTGTAATGGTTAATATGTATAAAATCAGGCAAGCTGGCTTTGTTTTGATTAACATACATGGAAGCTTCCATGTATTCTATTTTTAAAATAAAGAAGAGAGAGTTTTGACAGATCACTGTTATAGAAGTAGGGACCCTACATGGGACTTGGGAAGCTAAGGATAAAAACCATTCATTAGGCAGCCAGAGACAACTGCATTTGGTAATCAGTGCTGGTGTAGCAAAGAGAATGTCTAGTTGTGTTCCCAGAAGGTGGCAACATTCACCCAAAAGATTGCCGATTGCTCTGTGTTAGATGTTGAACAAGGCTAGATTAATATATTTCTTAATGGAGTCCCTATAACATAAAAATATAATTAGAAAGGCCAAAAAATAATTTGCAGAACAGCTAGCCAAAGACTCAAAAGCTAGCAGCAATTTTTTTTAAAGAGCATCAGAAGCAGGAAGCTTGTTAAACAACCAGTAAAGCTACTGGTTGATCAAGATGCTAATGGGGCACTCAAGGAAGTTAAGGCCATTGTGGAGAAACTAAATCAATTCTTTGCATCAGTCATCATGGCTGAGGATGTGAGGGAAATTCCCAAACCTGAGGTGTTCTTTTTAGGTGGCATATTTGAGAAACTGTCCCAGATTGAGATGTCAGTAGTGGCAGTTTTGGAACAAATTGATAATTACACAGTAAAAACTTAAAAAAACAACCAATAGTCTAGTAGCACCTTAAAGACTAACAAAACATGTAGATGGTATCATGAGCTTTTGTGGGCACAACCTACTCCTGTCATCTGAAGAAGTGGGTTGTGCCTACAAAAGCTCAGATACCGTCTATATGTTTTGTTAAGGTGCTACTAGACTATTTGTTGTTTTTTAAGTTTTTCCTGTTATAGACTAACTTGACTACCCCTCTGAAGCAATTAAACAGTAATAAGTCACCAGGACCATATGGCATTCATCTAAGAGTTCTCAAGGAACTCAAATGTGAAACTGAAGAATCACTAACTATGGTATGTAATCTATCATTTAAACTGGCTTCTGTACCAGATGATTGGAAGATAGCTAATGTGATACCAATTTTTAAAAAAGGATCAAGAGGCAAACATAGCAATTATAGACTGGTGTGCTTAACTTCAGTACTGGGCAAATTTTTTGAAACTAAAGAACACAATTATCAGACACATACATGAACACAATCTGTTGGGAAGGAGTCAACATGGTTTCTGTAAAGGGAAATCATGTCTCACTAATATACTGGAATTCTCTGAGGGGGTCAACAAGCATATGAACAAGGGGATCTAATGGACCCTAAGTGTGTTTACATTCAGGGAACCTGGCAGGATTTCTGGGCCCCTGGGCAATGTGGGAATGGGGGGTGGGTTTGTGCTCCCAGAATGGGTGCAGCCTCAGGCAGAGGGAGAGGGTCTGTGACAGCCAGACCACAGCACTGCCCTGATGGCACGATGCTAAGGTTACCAGATGATTTAAAAAAATTACCGGACACACTTGATCTCAGATGGGGAGGGGGGTGGCTGGGAGGGGAGCAGGCTGGCCGGGAGGAGGTCAGGGGGAAGGGTGGGTTTGTGCTCCCAGAATGGGTGCAGCCTCAGGCAGAGGGAGAGGGTCTGTGACAGCCAGACCACAGCACTGCCCTGATGGCACGATGCTAAGGTTACCAGATGATTTAAAAAAATTACCGGACACACTTGATCTCAGATGGGGAGGGGGGTGGCTGGGAGGGGAGCAGGCTGGCCGGGAGGAGGTCAGGGGGAACAGGGCTGGCCGGTGGGGAGTGGAGCTGGCCGGGAGGGAGTGGGGCTGGCTGGGGGGGACCTGGCCAGAGGAGATGTGGGGGGGAGGTGGAACTGGCCAGCAGGGAGCAGGGCTGGCCCAGGTGCATGCAGATCCCGGAGTCCTGCCCGTCCCGCGCATGGTCCCGGCGGGGTGCACAGGCGAGTCTGGCTCTGGGATTCCATCCTGCCCCACCCTCCTCCTCTCTACTGCGTAGTTGCATACTGCCTGGTTGGTAGACATGCTCACGCAGTGTGAGCATGTCTACCAGCCAGGCACTACGCAACTACGTAAAGATACTTACGATAATAATAAAACTTACTTAATTAGAAAATACCGGACATTTATATGTCTGGTATTTTCTCAATTTGTTTCCCGGACAGAAAGCTCAAATACTGGACTATCCGGTTCAAAACCAGACACCTGGCAACCCTACATGGTGCCTCATCCCCCCCAGTCCTCAGAGCCAGCCTGAACATGTGGGATGGCTCTACAGCACAGAATGCAGCACTCCCGTGGCAATTCTAAAGGGGCTGGAGCTCATGGCCACTGTTGCCACACCCGGGCCCTTCAGAATTGCCACGCCCTGGAGCAGTTGCTCCCTTCACTCTTCCCCATCTTTGTCAGCGGCCTGCTTAGATTTTCAGATAGCCTTTGACAAGATCTAAGTAAAGTAAGCAGAGTAAGCTCTGATGGGATAACAGGGAAGGACCTCTAACGGATCAGTAACTGGTTAAAAGCTAGGAAACAAACAGTAGGAATAAATGGCCAATTTGCAGCATGGAGGTAAATAGTGGTGTCCCCTAGGGGTCTGTATTGGGACCAATACTGTTTAATATATTTATAAATGATCTGGAAAAAGGGGTAAATAGTGAAGTGGTAAAGTTTGCAGATGATACAAAACCACTCAAGATAACGAAGTCCAATGCAGACTGCAAAGAATGACAAAGAGAACTCACAAAACTGGGTGGCTGTGCAACAAAATGGCCAGATGAAATTCAGTGTTGATAAATGCTCATTGAAAAACATAATCCCAACTCTACATATAAAATGATGAGGTCTAAAGTTGCCGTTACCCCTCAAGAAAGTAATTTTGGAGTCATTGTGGATAGTCCTCTGAAAACATCCACTCAAGAAAGCAAACATGCAATTTAACGTTGTGTCAGTATTAGTGAAAATCCCTTACACCAGGCTCCTTATATCTTGTCCCCCATATTCAGAAGAATTGCATTGGTTTCCTGCCGATGGGGCCTTCCACTGCTGCTTAAATGGGGGGCAACATTTATCCTGCTAAGTATAAATTGGCCATTTATATCATGTAATTTATCCTGCTAAGTATAAATTGGCCATTTATATCATGTAGGGCTTATGTTAAGTGTCCAAATGTGAACTGTAGGGGTGTGTCTACACAATAGGGGTAGCTCAAAATAAGACACGCAATTTGAGTTACGCAAATTGCATATCTTATTTTGATTTTATTTCAAAATAGTTTATTTCGTAGTTTGGCACCGTCTACACAGCACCAAGTTTCAAAATAACCTACTATTCTGAAATGTCCCTTACTCCTTGCGGAATGAGGTTTACAGGGATGTTGGACTAGTGAGCATGAAATAACGGGCTTGCTGTGAAGATGCAGGATAGCTATTTCGGGATACTCCGGTATTCTGAAATAGCGTTGCAGCATAGACGTAGCCCAAATGTCCTATTGAAAGATCCCACATTTGAAGGTTGGGAGCAGGTGCCAGTTTTTGCCAGAAGGAGGCAGACACTATACTGTAGGATGTTAAGTTTGTATTTCCTTTCAGGTTTATATGATGAAATGTTCAATTAAGTGACAATAACACTTGACCCTAGGATTGTCATTTTAGCAAATGCAATAAATATAATTCAAAAATAAATATGTAAGCCCTAAGGATTCTATAGGGTGAGGTTCTCAAGTGGAAGCTTGTGCATTGTTTTCCCACAAGACTCTCTTCCCTTAATGAATAAAAAAATCAGGAGATAAAAGATACTGTATGAAAGGAGAATCATAATCTTGTCATAGTATTGTTATAATTTTGTTTCTATTTAAGTCATGGGATGCAGGATCAGTCATTTGTGAAGAAATGAGGGGGAAAGGCTTCCACTGCTATTCCTGACACCTAAAATGTTATGGAAAAGTTCCAAAATCATTGTTCCTGATGAAATGATATATCACTTATATTATCTGCTCGGATTAGAATGGCATCATCAGTGATTCTGGGGTAACCAATGAAGCTTTTGAGCCTGATGAAGATCTTGATGATCCTGAAGATCTTAAAATTCCAACCAAAGAAGTAGAGATTCAAGTGGACTGGAATTCAGAACTCCCGGTCAAAGTCAGTGTCCCCAGAGTGCCTATCCACAGTCTCATTTTTGACTTTGGAGGTGTGTCATTCTTGGATGTTGTAGCTGTGAGGACAATGAGAATGGTAAGTTGTTTTCTGGTATTCTGTCTAAAAAAATCTAGTCATTGATGTTTTGTTTTCTGGTATTCTGTCTAAAAAAATCTAGTCATTGATATGTTAATTTAGGACAGGTTAGCTGAAATTAATTTTGAGTTTCCCAGGCTGTGTCTACATTGGGACCCTTTTCCGGAAAAGGGATGCTAATGAGACCAGTCGGAATTGCAAATGCCGCAGGGGATTTAAATATCCCCCGCAGCATTTGCATGAACATGGCTGCCGCTTTTTTCCGGCTCGGGGTTTTGCCGGAGAAAAGCGCCAGTCTAGATGGGAACTTGCGGAAAATAAACCCTTTTCCGGAAGATCCCTTATTCCTTGAAAGTAGGAAGAGGTTCTGGTTCCACCCATTCCACTCCCTGCGTAGGCTAGCTGCTGGGAGGGGAATTAGCTCCTCATGCTGCCATTGCACATTGCCTCATGGCAATCAGCTTTGCCTATAATTATCAAAGACTGGCCACTGAAAGACAAAGCATACTGGAAGGTAGATGGGACTTTGCACCTGACAATTCCTATAATCCTATGAACGAAAGAACATGTGATTTGGGATTGTGATGCAAATGTAACTAATCTTTGTGAATACAAATGTTGTTTATTAAATGTGTGCATAAGATAATGTTTATTGCAAACCACACCCTTTTTCAGATAATTAAAGAGTTTGAGAGAATTGATGTGAGCGTATACATTGCATCACACCAAGGTAAACATATATATGTATATTATTAATAATGTGCAGAATAAAATGGACTGTATCTTTGAAAGTAATTTTTTTAGTAAATATAGTTAAAAGTGAACAGGTCTTTTAAACAAATAAATAGTTAAATTGTGTCTGGATGTATATGCAAGCATTCAAAGGAGTCTTGGTTAGAAATTAATTTAATTGTTAATTGCTAATCTCTATTTTGACACATTTCTTCAATTTTTTTCAAATGTATCTGTCTTTTTATAACTCATTTTTTTATTCAGACAACATTATAAGAAAGCTGGAACAATGCGGTTTCTTTGATGATAACATCAGAAAAGACATGTTCTTCTTGACTGTCCATGATGCTGTGCTTTACATACAGCATGAAATGACATACAGAGACATCCAGGATCCTATTTTTGAAAAGGTGAAGACCATATATCATTTATTTTTTCTGTATCAGATACTGGCTGTAAATACTTTTTACAGTTTCTGGTAAAGGGAAAAAGCTTTACAATCTAGATGCAGAGTTGTTCTGAAAAAGCAAAAGATGTTCACATAACGTGCTTATACATTAGACTTGTGTGGTATATTATATGACTTGAAGATCTTTTCTAACTATGTAGAGGATTATTAATTACTGTGTTTCATTTCTATTGCATGAGCGCAGGCTGAGGTCCCAGATTGACTTGGGCATGGCCAGAAATGATTCATGCTTGCCAGTAGTGGGGGCAGAGGCAGAGTGAGGGCAGCTCTCTTCAGAAGTAGTACGGAGCATGCTCAGTCTGTGTGAGCATGCTCCATCCAAACCAAGCAATACACTGGGGTAACCTCACCAAGGCTTTTTGTGGCAACATAACTTGAGTGGTACTGTTGCAATGTTCATTTTGTTCACAATATTTGTTTATCTTTTTTACAAAGATTTCACTGATGCAGGAGTCTAAGGAACCAATAGATTTCACAGAAACAAGCAGGCTTGAGGATGAACTTGATGTTCAGGAGGAGGTATGGAGCTATCCTTTTAATTATATAAATGAGGTTTGCTTTTTTATCTTAACTATAGCAGTATGAGTGATGCTGAACTATGGTGCTAACCGAGAATGAAATTAAATAAATAAATAGAAACACCATCGCCTTGTGAGATACACTGACTGTGGTGGGTGGCTGGCCAACCCAGAGAAAATATTGATTGTGGCACACCCAGAGTTGGTTGTGAGGTGCCCAAAGTCTGCTCTTCCTATGCACTTAAGTGTCAGTGCTAGTCAGGGAAGTCACAGTGAATCTTTTTGAAGATGTAACAGGTGCTATATGTATTCATGCATCTCTACCTCCAGAACTCTCCAGGTTATATGCCTGCTTGTACCCTACAAAGGCTTAATGCTTTTACCTCAACCTACTCTCCCCATTCACCAAGCACCAGCCAGTCCCAAAAGCTATAATTTACCTCTAATATTTTCAAGTTATCTTGAGGACTGAAGAAGAAACCGCCTGACTCCACAGTGGCTGTTTTGTGAGGGTTCAACTTGATAATCAGCTTTTACTGGGTGTAGGTAGCAATTGCCGGGCCTCAAAGCTCACTTTATGTCACTGGCTGAATTCTACAATGAAGCTGTCAACCACAGAGATGATTTTGAGTTACTGCCCCTTTTAAAATTGTTTCCTGGCAGATGCAGGTCCCTTCTAGTTCTAGTATTCGATGACAGAACCCCTTGGTTGTATACTAATATATGTGCAAGAGTTGTTTTCTTTAATATGGTATGTACAAGATCTAATCACCTACCTCCTTCTCACCCTTCCCCATCTTTTAAAACTTATTTTATTAGGCTATACGCAGACTCGCTTCATGAAAGAACATCTCTTGTGGTTGTCTTGGACTCCTTGGCATATTTATGCACCAATACTATAGAAGCATTTTCTGCATTGGGACTAGTCTTTGCACTTGAAGAAAACACTGATTTCTTTGTCTGAACTCTACAGAGCTCTATACATCACCAAATTTTGTCAATTGGCAGGTAAACCTTGAAGTGGTCAAGTCTGATAAAAAAAAATCTGTTCATAGAAGTGCTAGCAAGAGATGGGAAGCAGATCATCAGAACTATCACAGAAATTAAAACCAGTTTTAGGGTTTGCCAATCTGTGTATACAACCTACTGATATATAAATTCACAGAGGAAAAATAGCTATTTTATGGTAACTCAGTGTTGAGACTATAAATTCTTTGGGGGGCAGGAACTGTCTCTTATGTATTCATAGTGTGGCCAGCACAATGAAGATCCAACCCTGATGGGAGGCCTGTAGATGTTGTTGTAATACAAATAATAAATTCCTCACAAAAGAGAAGTAATAGGTACTAGCAGCCCTTGTGCCTGACCTGCAAAAAGATCTGCAATCCCATGTTGTAATTAGATTGTCAAAATGCTAACCCTGCAGCATTCAACAGACATCTTTGTTGCAGTATTACAGTCGCTGTAGAAAAAAAATCCCTTATATAACAGAAGTGGAGTACAATGAAATTGATTCACTCAAACAAAACTTGTTTACTGTATTGTTATAAAAATGTTAACCATCTATATGGATAAGGCTCAATAAGAGGGACTGTTCAGCATCTTGGTTCATTAGTGCTATTTTTAGTAACTCATGCACTCCTGGTTATCATCATAACTGGAATTAAACATATATAGACTGAAGAGTACCTTACTCCCCCAACAGTCCCATTGAAGTTAATGGAACTTATGGACTGGGCCACTATAAAATTGGAGTAAAGATCTGACCTAATATTTAGATTGGTTTTTGAAATGGGATATAACAATATCATTGGTATAATGAAGAATTATCTGTATAAACTGTTTCATTCTTTTAACACTACAAACTGTTTCCATTCTTCTAAGAGTGGTGAACTTTTAAAAGTGAAGCTACAAACCCTTCGTGCAATAATTTACACAAAATTCAGGATTAGAAGAAAACATTTAACTTTTTTTAGGGCTTTATATTGGCTACATAGCATGTACTCATTATATAAGAACAATCATTTGTTTAGATGAAAAATTACAGAAATGACTGAATTAAAATTAAATTATAAATAAGTTTTAAAACTGAAAATCATTATGGCAAGTACAAATATACTGAAAAAAACTTGCAATAAAAAAACCCATACAGAATACTTATAAATACACAGGTTTTAGATTACATCATATTTATGGCCTAAACTTCGTGTTAATTTTAGTATCCTCATGTTTAAAATTACTTAAATTATACATTTTCTGTCAAGTTTTATTTAATTGTTTCAGACAATCTCCAATGGGACCAACCATGGGAAACCAAGCACTAAGTAGCCCAGATTATATCTCAAAGCTGATAGACCTTCCTCTTCACCAGTGACTTCACTGAGAGTTGTATTGGGACATTAGACATGAGATGAGTCCTTTTTCTGGCATAGCTGAAATGCTGGCATAACATTGTGTTTCTGTACCTAGCCCATGGATAACGAGAGTACTGTGGTACCTTAGAGACTAACAAATTTATTAGGTCATGAGCTTTTGTGGGTAAAACCCACTTCATCATATAAGCCCATAGATGGTCTTCAGGACAGTCTAATAGGGTGCTACTTTCAAAAGCACAAAGAGCTTGATCCTGCAAAATGTTTAGCATTCTCATCTACTCTGGCAAAACACAAGTAAATGATTAAATTTAAGCAGGAGTAGAATCAACGGGACTCTTCAGGTATTTAGACCTCCATTGGCTCAGACTACAGTGCTCAGTGTCCTTGCAGGACTGATCTCTCAGTTCACAAAATGGCTGTGAGCTTGATTCTGCCGTGCTTTTGGTGTGTGGATCTGAAAATGGTGACTGAATTGAGTCTCAAAGAAATGGCTACTGAGACAATGGAAGTGCTATAGGTGCAGCAGTGAAGGATTAGGCCAATTTCCTTCAGAAACAATATTACTTCTCATTAATGTCTGTCCATTTTAGATACCTTTATATAAAAGAAACTTTAAATATTTACAAAATACAGAATATTCTTGATTAACTTGAAAACTGTTAGATGCCACCTGGGCTCTTGTGTTTCTGAGGAATATGTAGTAAGGAGTAACACAAAACACTTTTTCTTTCTAAGGATGGGTCTTCACTATGAACTTTGAATTCTGAGTCAAACTTCCCTTAAATGTAAATGGCTTTGGATCATGATTTTAGTTTGGCTTTGTCTCTCAATCTTGCTGCCTGAGCATTTAAGAAGAGCAATAAATCAAATACAATGATATTTAAAAATACATTTTCCTTTTAAAAAAATGAAATGTTAACCATGATGAATTAAGTCAGAATTAGGGTATAGGTCAATTATTCACATTCACATGTTGCATATACACTTACTATTTGAGACATTGTTTATATTTGTTTTGAGTTTACTGATATAGTATAGTCATTCTTATCTGGATAAATTATTTTTCCTTGGTTTCCATTACATTCTTAATACACCCATCTAAAGTCTAAGAACAAGAATAGGCATGATATAAAAAATTTCAAATACTGTACCTCTGTTTGATTGGGATGGGTGCAGAGAGGTGTAAGGGGAGATCTACTTGTTTTTAATATGAAGGATAACAAAATAATGTATTTTGCAATACAATAAAACCCCTGCAGAACTTTGCACTCATTCATAAACCTCAATAGTATAGCTGAATATGCTTGCTTTTCAAGCATAATGCAGGAATGACATTTTAATATGCATTTTATGACTATTATTAATAGTTAGATCTCTGTATCTATCTGTATGTCAAAGATTTACCTTTAAAAATATAATTATTTTACTAATCTTTTTACCCTCCAGAAAGGGTGCTGTATTTTGCAGGAACATTGTCAGTGACTTAAGGAATAAAAATTATGTATACTAAAAAACACCCTTTTGTCTTGAATTTATTTTTCTCTATTGTTGTGATGACTGGAAGGGGTACTACCCTCTTCTGGACATCTCAGCCACTCGGTTAACTGAACTACCTCCAATGGTTAAACCCACAGACAATGGGTCCTAGAGAGTCTCCAGGAACGCCGGGGAAGCAAGAAGTGTTGGCGGTGAAGGGTATGCTTGTGTTCATTTTAAACAAAATGTGATTTAGAAGGTATGTATGCATAAAGAAGCATGCTGTGGCTCACCGCTCTAGGAACATTCAAGAAAAGGCCAAGGGGGAGAGGGGTGAGCTCAGCACGTGGAGTGGAGAAGTATAAGCATGTTATGAACAAATCCATATATGGAAATGTTAAATATGATTGGCCAGAGGTTTGTGTTATGTAACTTATGTAACTGCCATGTGCTATAAAATAGCAAGGGGAGCGGCTCCTTGCTCGAGGGACTCTGGCTGATTTTTGTACCAGGGGCTCTCCCTTTGTGCACATTGAATAAAGTCTTGTTGAATTGAATTGAATGAAGTATCCAAGACCCTTGATTCTGACCGGCATCTGACTCATTTGGTTATTATTGGGTACCACAAAATCCCAACAGCATGAAGCCAGGAAAACCAATGAAAACAGACTGTGGGATTTTTAATGGGAAGCAGGATCTTCCTGCTGCAGTCTGTGTGTGACCAAAGCAGAAAGACATGGATTTAACCAGGAAATAAGGTATGGAGAATTCAGTAACATCCATGCCTTGTGAAGGACTAAATCTCGGAACTAGATATGTGAGCAGAACAGGGAATATTTAGTCAGACATGATCAGATTATTTTCTTTATTTTTGGGTTTGGTGGACTACTGTGTGCTGAGCCAGTGTGGCTTCTCCTCATACCCTGTAACTTTTAAACTGAATCTCAGAAAAGTAATTCTGTGGCTTTTATCTGTCCCCAGTTTCTTTGTAACACCTAACAACCATCCAAATTTACCAAGCATGTTTTTTTTAATAAAAACCCCCTTTTAAAGGGCATGATCTGATTCCTGTGTCCTTGGAGGCAAGAGGTTCTGTGTGCTTGTTCTGAAGACTGCAAGGACAGCTATTAAGAAATTATGGATTTTTTCAAAATTCTCTCCAGAGGGGGAGTTAAAGATCATGAGAGTTCCTCCACAGAGAGAAATTCACAAATATGTCTTCCTGGGCTCTCAAAGAGGATTTTTTCTTTTGGATGGTGGCAGTATACCAACCAAGGTCAGGAAATTTGTGACCTTGGGGGTGTTTTTAAAACAGAAACCTTTGGTGACAGGGTATTTTAAAGTCTCTTGCAGGCCCCCACCTTCTGTACTTGAAGTGTCAGAGTGGGGAACAGCCTTGACATGGTGACAGCATTGATGGGAGCACAAAGCTCGGGATTTTAAAAGGACACTTTTTTCATTTTTTGACCGTTCTGGGATATTTTCTCTTTGGCTGCCTGAGGAGGGAAGCACACAAAAGGTTAAACCTGCAAAGCCAGGGACTCCAAATCAAACAGTTCTTTTCTAGCTTTTGTGGCAATGGGACAGTTAGGCTAGAACAGGACAAGAAAACAGCCCAGTGCATGGATTTGCAGTGGGGCAGAGTAGTCCCAGAGCAATCAGCCTTCCCAAAGTGGCACACCAATGCAAAAACAGCCCCACGTATCCAACTCTGGCTATGTCTAAACTACAGGCTTCTTTCGGAAGAAGCTTTTTTTGGAAGAGATCTTCTGAAAAATGTTCTTCCAAAAAAGAGTGTCCACACACAAAAGTGCATCGGAAAAGCGATCTGCTTTTTTAAAAGAGAGTGTCCAGCCTGATTGGATGCTCTCTCACATAAAAGGCCACCCAGAACCAGTTCAGGCAGGGTATTAGGTCACCAGTTGCTTCCAAGTGCTGTGATGGAGACTTGCAGAGACACGCGCTTAAAGGGACCCCCTCCCCCGGACTGCTTTTCTCTGCTTCTGCTGCGTGCTTGCCTACCTCTTCAAGGGACACAAAGAGCTCTCAATGCCTGCTCTGGTTGCCCTCTTCTTTTTTGGACGCCACAGCTTTTTCCTTTCAGCCATGGAGCCAGAGCTGCCCCTGGGCAGTTTTTGCAGCACTTTGTTCCAGTTGCCTTCCTGGTCCTGCATGAGCTGGACCCCCGAGCTTATTCTGGGGACTCTCTATCTGGGTGCGGCTACTACATTCTGGCAACCACACCCCACAGTGGAGAGGCATTTTTGGAGGCTCGACACCAGTTTGGACTGGTGGGACTGGTTGGTCCTGGAGCAGTGGGACTATCAGCAGTGGCTCCAAAACTTCCGCATGCAGAAGGCCACCTTTTTGGAGCTATGTGCCTGGCTCACCCCGACCTCCAGAGACGTGACACTCACCTGCAGTCCACCATCCCCCTGGAGAAGCGGGTTGCAGTAGCCCTCTGGAAGCTCGCCACCCCAGACAGCTACCGGTTGCTGGGCAAACAGTTCAGCATGGGGAAGTCCACTGTCGGGGCCCTCCTCATTAAAGTAAGGCACTCTCAGGCTGTAGTCCTTGCAGGGGGCTGGGAGAATCCTGGAAAGGGAGACCCTTGGGAAAGGGGGTTGAGGGCTGTGGCAGGGGATAGAGTTGGTGTGTGGGGAGAAGCTCCATTCCTGGGGGATTGTGCCATCCTGCCCTCACACAGCCCTGCTAGTGGGGTAGGCCACCTCATAGGACAGAGGAGGGGAGCTGGGAGGGCACCTCCCAAGGGCTCTGGCACCCCCCCTCTCATTCTTTGGTTTATGTGTTTATCTCCTTCTCCAGGTAGTGAGGGGCATCAACTCAATCCTGCTGCAGAAGGTCATTTGTCTGGAAGACCTGGCTGTGACCGTGGCTGGATTTGCTGCCCTGGGGCTCCCAAAGTGCGGCGGAGCCATCGATGGGACCCACACCCGGATCCGTGCACCAGACCATCGAGCGGCCCAGTACATACATCGAAAGGGTTCTTTTTGATGGTGCTGCAGGCCCTGGTTGACCACCTGGAACATTTTACAGACATTTTTGTTGAGTGATTGGGCAGAACATACGATGCCTCAGTGTTCAGAAACTCTAGCCTGTACTGCAAGCTGGAGGCGGGCACATTATTCCCTCACCAGGACTTTACCGTTGGGGAAGTGCAGAGGCCACTGTGCATTGTGGGGGACGCAGCCTACCCCCTCATGCCCTGGCTGATGAAGCCATCCACCGGCCACCTGGACCCTAGCAGGGACCAATGTAACGTCCACCTGAACCAGGCCTGAATCCAAGTGGAGTGTGCCTCTGGCCACCTCAAGGCACGTTTCCAGTGCCCACTGACCCACCTTGACATGGGGGAGCACAACATCCATGAGGAGATCGCGGTGTGTTGTGTTCTCCACAACATTGTGGAGAGGAAGGGGGAGGCCTTCCTCCTGGGGAGGGGGGCAGACCCTGGCAGCAAGGGATGAGTGTTCGAGCAGCTGAGGACAGCTGTCATCCGCCAGGCTGGGGTGTGCATCTGGGAGGCCCTAAGGGAGACGTTTGTCTCAACGACCCCAGTAACTCTCTCCAGGGCCTCCTCCCTAGGGTCCTCTGGCTTGTGGCCCTATCGCCAGGCTGGGGTGTGCATCTGGGAGGCCCTAAGGGAGACGTTTGTCTCAACGACCCCAGTAACTCTCTCCAGGGCCTCCTCCCTAGGGTCCTCTGGCTTGTGGCCCTATCCTTTCTCCTCCACAACTCCTCCCTTCATCCTTTCCCTGACCTCTGAATAAACACACCTGTTTGGTTTCAAAAAAATAAAGTCTGTATTTATTAAACATTCAGAAGAGGTGGGCAGTGGGAGGGGGGCTCATGACTGGGAGGGGCAGGAGAGGCTCGATGTGCCACCTCAGGTGAGGAGACCTCGCTGGAGTTGGGTGGGTCCGAGAAGCACGGGTGTGGACAGGAGGGGGGGGCTGTAGCAGGGGGTGGGGG